AAAATAAAATCTAATAAATCTGTTATACAGGCTTCTAATAAAATAAAAAATAAATAAAATATTAAATGAATTATATTCTAACTGAGCTCTCCCAACAAGAAAAAGAAAAATATTATGAAATAGCTTTTTATATTATAATAAACTTAGCTAGCCAGTCTTGTTGCTACTAACTAATTAATTATTATTTATATATTAAATTCTAAAACTTTTATAATCCTGTTTGAATACCAGCTATTCCTCCTTGTCTAACAGGTAATGTATCCTTGAGAATCAAGAGGCGACCCCTAACATAAAAAAATATAGAATTATTATTAAAAATTCATGGCTCTTATAACTACTGTAATATATTATTCCAGTAGCCTTACTCATGATGGTTAGATTATTCTATCACAAAATTCAAGAGTTATAATAATATCATTTCTCTTAAGTTCTGATAAGTTTAGTAGATATTTTGTTCACAATTTCATTTACAATAGAATATCTATAGAGTTTTAAGATTCTATCAACTAAAATATTGATTACAAAATATTACATCTGATTTTATAATGATTTCTTATCTTTTTTATCTATTTAAATACAAAGACAGATTATTATTAAAAAAGACATTTCAAGATAACTCGTATGTCGGGCTTATAATTCTTTAAACTTCTAAATTTGGTTGATTGAAAAACTCATTTCTCATGTTCATCATTCATTGAGATTCAAGACGGAATGCTGCCCCAGCAATCAACATCAATTTCCATTGGCTCCCCATATGCATCAATAGGCCCTTCTGAGGTACCGCGGCCACTCGTTGTCGCGCTTGCGGTTGAGCTTTTGGTACAGTCCCGACCTTGCGTATGAGAATTATGTTGAATTCTCCTAGCGCGCTCCCGTGTAGCTATCAGCGCTTTTCGTACATTATCCTCCTCCTTAGGGATTGATAATGATGTAGGCTCGGTGTAGAGGATCAACTCGTTGCACGGGCTTGTAGTATTTGCGACCAATGACTTCGGAATAGTTGACATCCGCTCAGCAACTCCGGGAAGGATATCAAGACAATTATCCTTTGATTCAATATCCTCTAGTTCTCTGTCCAGATCATGTATGTAAATGGTATCCTTAGTATCGTCCAATAACATGGTATCAGGATGGACGGAAGCAGGAAGCTTCCTGTCACTGATGTCATGTTCGGAGGTTATGGTATCTTATCAAGCAAAAGAGTTCGAATCAGATCCAGTGAATCTTAGACAAGGGTGATGGGAATGCAGATAATAGGATAGATGGTGCAGAAACATACTGATATGCAACCGACCGAATCTCTTTGCCAGAGGCTGATCACCCTCAGGGTAACTCTCTGCGGGGCGCTTTTTCCCGTGATTGATTTCCTCACCAGCATGTGCCATTAGCCACACAACCACTGACCTTTTTTTTTCCCTTCCCCTTTCTTGGTGGATGAGGGAATAGATCTGGTAATCAAATTATATATTAATTATGGTACTGCACATGACAGGGTGAACATTCAAACTAAATAAAACTGGATGTTACAACCGACGACTCGCTTGATGCGTATTCATAGGTTCATAAAGGAGGGGGAACTGGCTTTGACTCATCTATCTTCACCCTTTAGGTCGCAACCCAGAACATTCTACCACCTTCACACTCCCCCACTCTCAAATATTTTGCCTGCAAAAACCATCACAAGACCATTCAGTATGGCTTCAGATAATGATCTTAAGTTGGAATGGACCTCCAAACGTGTCCGTGATACGTTCCTTCAATATTTCAAAGAAAATGGCCACACTTTTGGTAAGTATTCTTTTCGGGGCAATTTCTCGGTCAAAACTGATCATATTAAAAACCGCCAGTTGCCTCGTCCCCCGTTGTTCCTCATTCTGACCCAACCTTGCTATTTACCAATGCTGGAATGAACCAGTTCAAATCGATCTTTTTAGGAACGGTGGATCCTCACTCTGATTTCGCAAACTTGAAAAGTGCAGTCAACACTCAAAAAGTCAGTACTTTAACCCTACCATTTTTAGCTAATTCTAACACAACCTGTAGTGCATTCGCGCAGGAGGAAAGCATAATGTAAGTGCAATGCGCATGATCGCCACCAGAAATGAAAGGCTGGGTTAGTCGAAGAGACTTGAGCATCTACTGATTCTCGCAAATGTAGGACCTCGACGACGTGGGCAAGGATAGTTATCATCATGTGAGAGAACGCCACCAAATCCGTGGCTTTTATGATGCTAATGCACAATTGATTATTAGACGTTCTTTGAAATGCTCGGCAACTGGAGTTTTGGGGACTATTTCAAAGAGGATGCGATTCGCTATTCTTGGGAATTGTTAACCAAGATCTACGGTTTAGATCCCGGACGTCTCTACGTTACCTATTTCGAAGGAAATAAGGAAGGTGGTCTAGAGCCAGATCTCGAGGCCAAAGATCTGTGGAAAGCCGTTGGCGTCCCGGAGGATCATATTCTCCCAGGCAACATGAAGGACAATTTCTGGGAGATGGGTGATCAAGGCCCATGTGGCCCTTGCAGCGAGATTCACTATGACCGAATCGGTGGACGTAATGCTGCTCATCTAGTCAATCAAGATGACCCAAATGTATTGGAAATTTGGAACAACGTTTTCATCCAATACAATCGTGAAACAGATCGATCCCTGCGGCCGTTGCCCAACAAGCATGTCGACACCGGAATGGGGTTTGAGAGATTGGTGTCTATCTTGCAAAATAAGTCGTCAAACTACGATACAGATGTGTTCACTCCCATATTCCAAACCATTCGAGATGTTACCGGAGCCAGGGAATACCGTGGATCCTTCGGTAGTGATGATTCTGATGGTATTGATACTGCCTATCGTGTCATAGCGGATCACGTTCGGACCTTGATGTTTGCAATCTCAGATGGTGCGGTTCCAAATAATGATGGCCGCGGCTATGTCATCCGTCGTGTTCTCCGCCGGGGTGCTCGATATGCCAGAAAATATTTTGGTGTCGAGATCGGCAACTTCTTCTCAAAGATTGTTCCAACAGTCGTTGATCAACTGGGCGATATGTTTCCGGAACTGAGAAGGAAACAACCGGACGTCATGGAAATATTAGACGAAGAAGAGATGTCATTTGCTAAGACTCTGGATCGCGGCGAGCGGCAATTTGAACATTATGCCCAGCAGGCTAAGGCAAAGGGGGCCGACAAATTGCACGGCGCCGATGTTTGGAGGCTCTATGACACGTTCGGATTCCCGGTCGACCTTACTCGTATAATGGCAGAAGAACGGGGCTTGCAGATCGATGACCGGGAGTTCGAGGAAGCGCGGTCGCGAGCAAAGGAAGCAAGCAAAGGCCAGAAGAAAACTTCCGCTGAGACGGTCAAGTTGGATGTTCACGATCTGGGCAAGCTCGAAGCCATGAATGACGTCCCCAAGACTGATGACACTGCCAAGTTTGGAAAGGGTAACATTACCGCCCAAGTCAAGGCCATATACCAGGGCAAGATGTTCCATTCATCTACGGACGAGGTGCCCGACGGCGAGCAACTTGGAATCATCCTTGACCGAACGAACTTCTACGCTGAACAGGGTGGGCAAGAGAATGACACGGGTAAAATTGTCATCGATGGACAATCCGAGCTTGAAGTAGGTGATGTTCAGCTTTATGCTGGATACGTCCTGCACACTGGTTTCATGAAATATGGCTCCATCTCAGTAGGTGATACTGTCATCTGCGAATATGATGAACTGCGCCGTTGGCCGATCAGGAACAACCACACTGGAACGCATATTCTTAACTTTGCGCTCAGAACTGTTTTAGGGGACGGTGTGGAGCAAAAGGGTTCCCTCGTCGCAGCGGAGAAGCTGAGGTTCGACTTCTCTCACAAGTCTGCTATTTCGGACAAAGATCTGGCTCGGATTGAAGAGATCTCGACTGAGTATATTCGACAAAACTGTACTGTCTACTCTCAAGAGCTTCCTCTTGCAACAGCCCGCGAGATCTCTGGAGTTCGTGCCGTATTTGGAGAAACTTATCCCGACCCGGTCCGCGTTGTCTCCGTTGGTGTGGAGCTGGGTGAGATACTCCAGAATGTGAAGGATCCGCGTTGGAAAGAGGTCAGCATTGAATTTTGTGGGGGTACCCATGTGCAGAAGACAGGGGACATTAAAGATCTCATTGTTCTGGAAGAGGGCGGTATCGCCAAGGGTATCCGCAGAATTATCGCTGTGACCGGAGAAGATGCGCATGAAGTGCAGCGTTTGGCAGCGGAGTTCCAAAAAAGGCTTGATCGTTTAGAAGCAATGCCCTTAACTCCAGAAAAAGAGAAGGAGGCAAAGCAGATCCAGGCCGAGCTCAATCAGCTTTCGATTTCTGCTGTACAGAAATCCGCCTTTCGCGAACGTTTCGCACGTATCAACAAGGAGGTTCTCGATGGTCAAAAGGCTCTACAAAAACTCGAATCAAAAGTCGCGCTCGAAACCATAACTAATTATTTCCAAGCCCCGGAAAATCAAGACAGAAGTTGGCTTGTCGCCAAGCTCCCCATCTCTGCGAATTCCAAAGCGATTAGCGAATCTCTAAATTACGTTAAGTCAAAGTTACCCGAGAAGTCGGTATACGTTTTGGCTGCAAGCACCGATCAAGGCCGTGTTGCCCATGGCTGTTACGTGTCGAAGGTAAGTCGTTATCGTTATAACTCCGGCCCTATGTCATTGTAACTAATACAATCAATGATTGTATAGTCATCAAGCGAGGCCGGTGCCTCCGCTAGTGAGTGGGCAGCTATCGTTTCTGGTGCAGTCGGGGGAAAGGCGGGAGGTAAAGGAGCTACTTCAGTCGGCAATGGAGTCAATCCCGACAGAGTCGACGAAGCTGTCAGCTTGGCTTCTGATTACCTTGGCAAGTTGAAGTTATAGGTTGTTGGTTATGCTGTAGCCAACATCTAGTGGGATTGACAGAACTTAAGTGACCGATAGTGAAATCCACGAAAGGACAGCTACCTTTTTTTTTCTGGGTTTAATGCTTATGGCTCTTTTCTTTTTATCTCTGTATAACATAAATGGAAAATATCATGCCACTGGCTTGATGCTAAAACATCCTTCGATCATTGTGTCACATCTCCCCACATTGCACAATCAGAACATCTTGGTTGGGCTTATCTCGCGTCGTTCTGGTGTTCTCAATCATCCGCACGACATCCATCCCTTCAACCACCTTACCAAAAACAACATGCTTGCCATTCAAAAATGGGGTTGCAGTTGTTGTAATGAAAAACTGACACCCATTTGTGTTCGGACCAGAGTTCTAGGGGAATTAGTCATTGTATAGTTCGATGGGTGTCTTGTGGCTCATGGACTTACTGCCATACTAAGTAGGCCAGCATGATCATGCTTCAATAGGAAATTTTCATCCGAGAACCTTGGAGTACCGTAAATGGTACAAGATCCCGTCCCATCTCCATTGACGAAGTCGCCACCTTGGATCATGAAGTCTTTGATCTTTTCCGATGGGATAGGATTAGCATCTCTCCATCCAAACGCCTATTGGGTTCCTCTCATAAACATACTACTCGATGGAATCTGCTATTCTTGTATCCCTGCGGTCGTCCCTGTGCATTTTTACTTTCTCCCGTACAGAACTGGCGGAAGTTCTCTGCTGTTCGGGGCGTAACATCGGCAAATAGTTCCATCTTTATACGACCTAGAGGCTCGCCTGTCACAGTGATATCTCAGTTACTATCCATTTAGTATTCAATTCGTTGCATAGTGCAAGCTTTAATACTGTATGAACCAGTAGCAGCACAACACCAGCCAATCGACATATTGATGGACCTCATTTCCAGTTTTTAAATGGACGTGCTTTTGTAGCTTGACTGGGTCAGGAGAACGGGGTTGCAACAGATTGTATCACTTGATGTACATACCTCCTAAGGCTATATCAAAGAAAACCACGGGATTTCTGTCTATATGCGAGGTTGAAGTTGTGCTGTCCATTCTGTCCACCTGTCTGGTTTCTCTTTATGTCGCTGCTGGTATTGTGCAGGCGATAGCGACCTTGTTGAAGACTGGGTTCGTGCTAGTAGCTACAAGTGGTTGAATCCTGAGGGCCATGACGATGTTTCCTGAATTGGCTGTGTCTGTTTAATTTTACTACCCGTCCGTCCCCGCAGTGGGTTCCGACATGATGGATCGATCGCCTGCCCCCGTGACTCGGACGCCCAAGTCTTAGGTGTCTGTGTTTGGCGACCACGACGTTGGAGTATTTGTTCTCACTTCACCTCCTCTCCCCCCATCGGACTTGGTGAGCATCCAACACCAGATTAGGCTCCATTTTGAAAGCCTGGAAGCTCCAAATATATCGGTGTCAGTGATGACCTTCCCGGGGCGTCCTTTAACATGAGCCTGGGAGTTGGTGCCCTCATCTAGATGAACTTATATGGGATTGTCGACCAACCTCGCAGAGACAATCTATAATTAAGAAGTGTCTTTTTACTTCGTCAATTTGGTACACTGCATTTAGTACGCTGCTATACGCGCAACAATTCCCATTCTTTGACACCCTCTTCGGCATAGTCTATTCAAGTGAACGTTGTCCACCCCTCTCCCCAATCGCCTTCTTCTGTCGACATGTCCTCAACGACCACAGGCTCCTCTTCCAGTGCCACTAGTACAGATCGTAATGGGAATAACAACAGCTCAAGCCCTACTAGTTCGCCTCTACTATTTTTCGTCGCCCTCGGGTTTGGTGTTGTTTTCACCAATCTATGGTATGTCCAAGTTGGTATCACTAGGCTTTTGCTGCGCCAATATGCTTATCTGACCATCGCATTCCAGGATAATCGTTGGTGTGAAATATTGCTTTCGATATAACCAACGCAATCGCCAACTACGCAGTGAAGAGACAGGCGAGCCTATAGATCTGGTCGCCATGCCACGAACGCACCGAAGACGCCGAGAAAAGAAGCTGATGACTATGGACGACGTCAACGAGAGGTTTCCACTGACCAAGTATAAAGCATGGAGGTCATCCCGTGAGAATGAAGGCCTTTCCACTGCAGGCGGGATTTCGGCACCAAATAGCCGGTCGCAAAGCCTCAAGGATGAGAACTACATGATATCTGCTTCGCTTGGCGCACCTTCATCCATGCTGGCATCGCCACTCAAAAGCCATCAGCGGGTTGATTCGAACACTTCGCAGACGTCTGCACCACTAGAAAACCTGGAGACAACGCTACCACATTCTGAAGAGAAGAGCCAGAGATATCCCGAGCCAAGCCCTGCAAACATCGGAGTAAACGACAACGCCAACATATCAGCCCCGGAGCAGCCCCGTAACCACGCGCTCAGCCATGTCATCGTAGAGGATGTTGGAGATCTTGAGGACCATATCCGCACCGCTGTACCTGCCGATTTCCTGGCAAATCCAGGTGATACTTGTGCTATCTGTCTCGATACGATCGAGGATGAAGATGATATACGGGGGCTTACATGTGGACATGCTTTTCATGCTTCTTGTGTTGACCCATGGTTGACAAGTCGACGGGCCTGCTGTCCCCTATGTAAAGCAGATTACTACATCCCGAAACCTCGCGCAGAAACTTCTGAATTGCCTGCTAGTTCAGAACGACAGGGTCGACGTGGCATGACACGAATGACACCTATAAACCCGCCACAGGCTGTTTTTATAGGTGGAAGAGTGAACTTTCTGCGGTCGTCGTCGGGTTTCCCGGAGCAGCATGCGCAACGGCGCCCCTTGACCCACAGAGCGGGCTTCTCGCGCTTGCGCCTTTGGCGAGCGCCTCAATCTAACCACCAGCCCACATCTCCTGTGCCTGACACTTCGACACAGCCAGGTCGGAGGGACCAAAGGTTAGGGATCTTCACTGCATCTTACTTTCCACTGAACTTCGGTTTCCGAGGCAATCGTGCATCGAGAGGAGTTGCGAATAGGAACGCAGACGTCCGTTATTCAGATAACAACCGAACGCTTGGTGAACTTGAAGCAGGACCTTCTATATGAAATAATTACTTAACTTGAAGTCTCATATGTTCTCTGCCTCTCGACATCTGGAATGCCGGTTGGGCAGACTCGTGGTTATCCTTGCACAGGGTGCAGCACACGCCTGCGGCTTTGTACAGTACATTGATGCACCCTCATAGGGTAATGTGTCCCTGCTTGGCTGAGGTCATATCTAATATCTCCTCTCACTGTAATTGATCTCAGCACATGTCGACTTTCTGGCACGGATCCTGGCGTTTGTGGAGACCACTCGAGTTCAGGTCAGACTACTTTGTGCAGGTGAGAAACTGGTAGCATCTGGCTTTTAGCGGGCAATGCATGGCTGGGTATATTGGCGTTGGCATGTTTCAAATGAAATTGGTTTTTTATTCTATTTTATGTTTCTCCCCCTACGTTAACTTGGAATCACGGATCTCAGACGGCATGGCTAAATTCATCATACTGGCCATAGTCTACTCACTTGCCTCATCCTCCAGGGTTACTCTTCAAGTCACACGGATGTTGTAGGTTAGATATTGGATACTTCTAGGCCATGTTGACAGGTAAGGTAGCCATTTCAGTGAGTAGTGTGCGACGATGGTTATTGTTGACATTTAGACAATGCAACATTCCCGATCCTTGTCGTCTCAACGTTATCGCTGACCCTATATCCGCGTTATACCATCGGGGGATTCATCTTGTCCAGAATGAAAATATATCCTGAAGGCGGCACCAATGGTCACTATAAAAGCTACCCCAATTGCGAGGATGAGAGAAAATCGGTAACGAATGTCTCCATTTTTTGGCATGTCAATCCATCCTAATGCAAGATTTGTGTGGCGCCCCAAAGATTTCTGCCTGGTTTCTTTGAACGTCCATATATAACAATCAGTAGCAGCCACCCCACCAGGAGTTACTTGCAATAAGATACGTGTGCGCAGCAAAAGTTGGTTGCGTTATGACATGATGTGTTCGAAGAATAGCAATAAGGCATAGGGGTAGAGGATGCATTGTAGGCGTGTGGGATGGCAACACTGGTATGGGCCCAGGCCATCTGAGCCTCGTCAATGCAACCCTTGGTCACCCTTTGGCGTGAGTAGGATTATAGAATGTAAATTAAAATTAGAGTATATCAAGTTGGATAGCTTGATATTACAGTGGAGAATGGCTGATGTTTTTTAGGCAAAAGACCAGCTACATCAGGACACATTATCTCAGTACTCCGCACATCATGTGAAGTTGGGGAAGCTCTATGGCTGTTAAGATGGCTTGGCTCACGTGCTACAGCGGCCGGGCCTACTAACGCGGAATAACACTTTCTGCTCCTTATACTATGGCAGTGGTAAGTATTTCTACAAATCATTAATACTACGGTATTCGCTATACCTCTCTGAGTCTGAAATTGAAAATTGCTGGGCGTAAGCCTTGCCCTGGTCGATTGGTTTAATCCGTTACAACCTATACCAGCAAACTGGGCAATAAAGCTACATTGGTTTTTAGCTCGATTGATGTTTTGAAATGTTTCTCGAATAATCGAAACCGGCGGCCGAGTTCTCTCAATGTATCATGCTAGACGAATACTTCGAAAATCCCAGGTAACATTCCGGATAAGCCAACCATTACCTCGGGATTCAAGCTCGGTCACTATTCGTCAACTACAGGTTAAACGCCCATGGGCCAGGTATGCTGAGCAGCTCATAGTCCAAAGGTGTCGTGGTATCACTTCCTTTACTCACAAGTGCTTCAGGAAATTCATAGCTACCTTTTTTCTGTGTGGGACAGCGCTTCATCTCTTAACTTCACTCGCTATCCTGCGGTTTGATGAGTCGCTCTACGATACTGATCAGTCACCGGAGAATCTGCCAGGCCTCGATGCCTCGTCCAGGACTGGGAAGTTTGACCCGGACGAATATGTTCCTCCCCACTCAGAACATGCCGCTACTATACAAACTCGCTTCCTTCCCCTGAGTTGGCCTCGCTTACAGGAAGGAAACTTTTATGTAGCGACAGACCCTGAGTGGCAAGCGTTTAGGAAACTAGCCCTTGACAAGAACAAGCTCTCGGGTTTGAAAGGTATTTGCGAGCAGATGGTCCTTCAGTCATTTTGAAATTAACCAGTCATGAACATATAGATGAGTTAATTTCGGCTGTTTTGGACGTCTCATCCCAAACACGACTACTTAATTATATGTTGGGGGGGCCACTGTCTGTCGCAGGAGTTTGGCTGGAACACCGATTTCCATACCGTGCACCCCCTGTATACTATCGATCTGGGTATGTATGTCCTGATTAGTACAGTATATTTTGCTCATTGGTACAGACTAGAACTATCTCAGAATGGTCTCGCCTGGGTTTCGAAGCCAATAACTGCAGAAGACGGCGACTGCCTGCACAGATGCATGAGGCCTTTAAGTGTGGCACACGCAATTAAGGATGCTTTTTTGGTTCTGTGGAGCAGACAGATTTCCCGACTTAGCCCAGGTTTGATGGATGAGCAGGTGTCTGGGTCTTTTATTTCTCTAGATGCAAATTTATTGCCCTCAGTATTGCAAGGATCGGATGGACTTGACGACGTTTCTCGGTTTGTGTCACAGCCGCCTCCTCTGAACTTCCAAGATGGCAGCCCGTCGACCAGGGACTGCTCCCGTCCACATACTTCACTGTGCATTACTGCGTTGCAGAAATTACCGCTGCCAAACCTTGGGTCTGGTTCCGACCTACGTATGGCGCTGCTGGCTTTCAAGTGGCGATTAAATTACTGCTGGGCTCGCAACGCGCACACATCTCGTCGCGGTGTCATGTACATTTCTGGTCCTATTGGTATACGAGGCCCTAGGGGGGTGTGCAGAGTGGAGGTGAAGGGGGAGTACGATGTTGTGAGGTCTCAATGGACTGCTATCTCCATGGATATTAGAGATCTTAATCTGTTCAGTCAAAGGGCACTTGGTCCCCGTTAGCAAACCTTATGTCCATTGGCTGTAACTCAACTGGCTTGTGTAGACCACCGATCCCGAAGCGTACCAATCAACCTCAATACCCTGTTATACTTTATGCCCTCAAGCCATTGTGAGATACCAGCGAGAGACATGGTTTGGTGTGTTTGTCAGACGGTCTCTTACAGATTAATTTAGGTTCATGAAGTA